ACATTAAGTCCGTTGACCACAAGGTGTATTACAGTAAATGTTTATTTAACAACAATTAATATTTATTTAAGAGTGAGTATTATGTATCAATTCTAATTCCTTGTAGTGGACTAAAGATAAAATATGTTGGAAAACATAAATCCTGAAAATTCTCGTACTCTCTTTTTCTTTCACCAATCATTACTTATTCGTTATAAAGGTATAGAGATCGCCAAAGAAGTTTCACTTCTTTCATGTGTACTGTTTTTTACCTGTTTTTTTTAAATTTAAATTCTATTTTTCTTTCAGATATTACTTGCAAAATCTAGAAAAAAGTCAATCAAACGATCTACGAATGTTCAGATTACTATCCCTTTGGCTAGAAAACAGAAACTCAGACATTATTAATAAAATAACATCTAAGTTTCTCAAAATTCCGACTTATAAATACATTCCCATTTTACCTCAACTTGTTCCCCATTTAAATCCAAACGACGATAACTTTAGTACTTTAGTTTTCCAAATAGTGGGTAAGTGCGTTTTTAACTTAAAAGTAAACTTTTTAATTGTAAATAATAATTGTATTTAAGAAAGGTGTGCCAAAGATCATCCTCACCATACAATCCCTTTGGTATTGGCATTAGCAAATGCTAGTCAAGACAAAATTTATCAGCAAAAGGAGAAGAAAAAAGATACGGACTCATTAAGGATAAAAGGAGCTCAGAAGTTGCTACAAAAGCTTAAGAATTCTTCAATTGGTAGTCTTGTTACAAAAATGGAGCTGGTATCAGCCTCTCTGATAGAATTGGCCTATTTAAACGCCAGTTCCTGCATAAATGTTGGCAAAAATTTTAGTATCAAAAGTAGCTGTCGCATAAGGAGAATAAAAAATTTCGAAGACGTCATGGTTCCTACTTATAAATTACCCATCAGCAAATGTAATGATTACTCCAATATTATTGGTAAGCAAATAATCAACGTTTTAAGGCTTCCTGTTATTAAAAATACGTTATTCTTTGTGCAGGCATTGTATCTTTCTCTGATGTCTTCACTAATGTTGGTGGAATAAATGCACCAAAAAAAATATCCTGTATGGGGACAGACGGAATTACTAGGCATATGCTAGTAAAAGGGAAAGATGATCTAAGACAGGATGCTGTAATGCAACAAGTTTTTGATATAATGAATGAATTTTTAACATCTAACAAAAAAACTTTTAAACAAAGACTGAGAATAAAAACCTATAAGGTTTGTTTCCAAACATTTTTTGTAGGTACATAAAACAAAGATTTTTGTAATTAATTTATAATACTAGGTGGTTCCTCTGTCTCAAAGAAGTGGGGTATTACACTGGGTTGAAAACTCTGTTCCCCTGGGAAACTATCTTATCGGAGATGAAGATAAACAAGGAGCTCACCGTCGATATAACAAAGATGATTACTCAGTTTCAAAGTGCAGGAAGGACATTGATGTAAGTTTCTGACAAGTAATTTATTTTTAACTTCCCATTAGGAAGTTATTGTAATTGGGTCGAAAAGTGAAATCGGAATTTTCATTATATTTCCACGTTTTAACATATTAGTAGCATGCTAGCCAATTTTTTTGATGATGTGTGTATGTACGTACGTACGTACGTACGTACGTACNTCGATAACGTGAATTCTGATGATGCAGATAAAAATGAAGATGGTATGTATAGATTTTTTTCTTGTAATACATGCTACTACTTAGAGTACTTGTTTTTGTGTGATAGATAGCAGAAGCGATTTTGACGTTCTGCAAGCCTGTCAACAAGCACTTTGCGATTATTTTTCTAATTCGCACTTGTCTGCTCTAAATAATACTCAATTGAAAGCTCTAGAAACTTTCCTTGATTATCCGTATGAGTTCGAACTGTCTCAAGATTACAATTTGGTACTACAACTTTCGGATAACGATAGTTAATAGCAAATAATTAAAATACGATCGTTTTAGGCAATAATGGTACTGGAATCGTTAACTAAATGTAAAATAGGCGCTATTTCCGAAAATACTTTGGAAAGTGCCTACACTTGTTTTAGCAATATTTGTAAAATTTATTATAGGAACAATGAATCAGCAGTTACTTTATTGAAGTTGTGGTATGGTAAGTTTTTTTGTTATTTCTAAATAAATAGTAACATAAACACCTGAATTACTACAAATATAGGGTCCCTAGATACATAGAGTACAGCAAACCCACCATTTTCACTCCAAAATGACGCGGCAAATTTATAATGTAGTGTTGACACGAAATTGAATACAGTGATAAAATATAGATCTGTAAAACATTGTGGTACTCTGTATATATATATACCTAGGACCCTATATGCTATACTGATAAGTAATAATTGTCTTAATTTGCACTTAATTCTGTAAATTTCATTTTAATTTTACAGATTTTTATCCTCACACCATCGATTCTAAATCGGAAGAACTAAAAGTTAGCGCTGCTGAAATATTAAAACCTTTCTTTAATTGTTACACAAACTATGGACCGAGTGTATGTGTCAAGTTAGTCAATTGTTTGGGATTAGTGATAAAGGTAAGAATTTGTAATATTGATTTTAAAGTAGAAGTACATCTTTCCCAGTTTAGAGAATTAAACAGTGCAATAACAACATGCCATACTTTGAAAGTATGTAGCCAGAATGAATATAAGAAAATAATGACAGTGCAAGGACAAGTGGTTTTATTTATACTTTTTTCTCCCTAAGTAATTTAATTTATTAAAAGTACTTTTAACTTTCAAATGTGGTAGTATAACTACCAAAAATTAGACGAAATTTAAAGTTAGTTTCCCATCGTACCACGTCCTTCCAGAAAATCCACATGATCATCGAGTATGCGTTTGGAAGAGGAAATAAAGACCTGCATGACTATCCAAGCTTTTCGTACTTTTTACCGAAATTTCGTTATGTTTCCCCGAAGATTCTTATGGCTAAAAAAGAATGTTTAAACAAAAAAAAAATTATTTGGCGCAAAAAAGATTTTGTTTTTCTTTACTTATTCACACGTATTTAAAGAAATTTTCATGCTGCAAGTAACCTTTAAATAACAACAATCCATTTGGTACAATGCTAGCCCTAAAAATTTTTGTCTAAAAAAGTCTGGCAACGCAGACCAAAAACCGAGTGTGTTAGTGGATATCTCTCTCCCTGCTTGCAGAAAGAAAGAAAGAAAATATATCCAATTTACTTGTTTTAATTACGCCATTTAATTCTCTAGGCCGCCAAGAAAAACGTAGTTCTGCTTCAAAATGATAAGCGGGTGCGATCGTAACATATTTTTTTTTATACATTTACAAATCGTGTTTTTAGTGGGATATATCCTTTGCATGGCTTAATGATGATACCTGTGTTGCCCATAACATGTTGAACTTTTTAAAACATGACTATCAAGAAGTTAGAATCGCAGCAATAAAAAATTTAATGATTTTATTTGATGATCGTGGACCTTCTGTTCAAAACATTCAACATCAACAAGAAGTCTGTTTTACAATTATTAATAGACAGGTTAGTTTATTATGGTCTGTTTTAAATTTCTAGTTGTAATATACAGTAGATACTTGATAGTGTGAATCGAAAAAATAAAAATTTATCAATTTGTTCGTATTAGCAAATGCTATGCACATAAGGTAAATCTTTCACCGACTTTAGGGAGATTCTATTACATGGACTTCAAATGCATAGAATATTGTTGCGGTTGATGACGATCCATCAGGTCAGTAATGTCAACGTTACTCTCTTCTGCCCACTGGGTTACTAAAGCGTCTTCACACTAATGTTGATATTTTGCAGAGTTTCTTTTATGCGATGTTCACACAATCAAATGTATACTGTATTCATTTAAAAAACAAAACACTACAACCAAAAATTCTACACAGAACGTTATTAAGGTTTAATACGTTTGATGTGGAATTTCGGGTTATAGTGTTTTATTTAGTTCAGTTTCATAGAATTTCGTTTGTTTTTTAATTAATAGGTAAATGAAGTTTTTATAGTGGACGAAACATTGCTTACTAATAGTGATAGAAAAATAGACGAAGAAGTCTCAAGAACCATGACAGCTCTACTGACATTTTGTACTGTTATTGTTTCAAGTACAGTGTGTAGAAAAAGAGCGCTGTTTTCTCTGTTAAAATTGACTTATTCAAGAAAAATAGGTAATATTCTCTACTTTTTGTAACCTTGCACAGTTTATTAAAAGAAACATTTTAGATGCAACACATTTAAGAAATGCACTAAATCTAGTTTCATATTTCTTTAATTCAAATAATGTTTATTCGTTCTTGAAACCATACGTCGACTATTTAATTTTGAATTGGTCCAAAGATGGGATGGACATTCAAAAATTTCCGTATGGATTATTGGAATGTAAGAACGTAAAAGAATTCAATGAAAATTTTTTAAAAAATATGGGGCATGTCTTTCTACAACATAAACAAACGGATATACTAAATAATATTTCGCAGCATGCAGGTATTGCTGTTAACAACATAATAAAGGTACAAAAAGTAGAAAATCTATAATAATTAGAAACCTTGGCAAATTTGATACATTTTTTTAGGAATGTCTGCCAAATATCGTTATAAACTACTTATTTTCTGTAATAACAAGCACAAATGTAACGTGTTCAGAAATTTATGAACATGTTATGGAGCAATTTGGTTCTGAAATAATAATAAATACCGTTATTGACTATCTCCACGTGATTATTGGCAATATTATTGGATATGCTCATGATGAACCTTATCTTCGAAATGAGTTTAATGTTATTTCTCTTCTACCTGAACCTAATGAACCATTTTATTCATTAAATGTTTTATTAAAGGTGCTGAATCTTTTAGAAGTATGTAAACAAAACATAGTGACTTATATAAACAATATTTAATTTTTATGTACATTATAGGTAAAGTTCCTAAGTTCTGAATCGTTTGTATCTTTCTGTTCCAAAAAATTTCCGTCAAAACTTCAGATGATTTTACTTCAAAGAAGAACGTGCATCCATTTTGCTCCCTATACGGAAGATAAAATACTCGAATTTTTCAAATTCACCGTCTACGTTAACATTTTACTTGATCATTTAAGTGAAATCGAAGATTTGAAAGAATATATTATTAAAGAAGTATGTTACACTCTACTTCATTTAATTAATTTTAACGAAAGTGGTGATTCTTTGAAAATATTCGTTTGCAAATACTTTCGAAAAACTATTTCCAAAATAATAACAAATAATCATGAACATTTACAAGAACTTTTGCCTTCAATAATCGGCACAATGGTGATTCATTCTACGACACGAAACGAAAAACTCTCTGAAGAATGCATCAAGTTGTTACACACAGTGATCTCTCATTTTCAAGAAGACATTAAAATTTTGGATCCCCTCCCTGATAATGTTGAAAAATTCAAGTGTTTGTTGCCAATTTACAACAAGATTGAACAAAGAATTAAAAGATGTTCCTTAAAAGAAAATATACAAGATTTTCTACTGATCAGTAAAGAAAATAACATTTGTATACAAGGGATTGTACAACTTAGAAGGCAAATATTGGAAAAGAGAAAGGAACTTGAAGATCTTTATGAAGAAGCGCAACTTTTAAGGGGGTTTTCAGAAGACTATGAACACAATGCTTTACATAGGCTTGTGTACGTTTTGGTTCGACTGTGCGCATCGCATAATAACGATGTAAGTATAATTTTCTTAATCGTGCTAATAAGTTACTAAGTGCGTCCCATAAAGTCTACGTGGTCAGTTTCCTTTCCCTAGACGATGAATAGAAAAAAAAAATAAAACATGTAACATCTAACCCCGGTAACGAGCCATATTGACTTGTTAATATTTTATTTATCAATTTTAAATGGATTAATTAACGCGACATTAGAGAAATTAATCTCATTTTTTTTTGTCCAAGTAATTTTCATAAATGAATTCGTATAAGGAACAACGCAACACTGTCTTCTTTTTCTTTTTCCTTTTGTTCCTCTGTCTTTTGATGCGCCGACTATAGGCAGGATTGACTGAACAGCGCGCGCATCTCCCTCTTAACTCCAATAGCCCATATACGCATATACTGAGCAGTAAGGTGTTACACGTCAAAAATAATAATAGTGCTTATAACAAAAGAGGAGAAATCGTTTTTAAATGTTTCAAAGGTTTAATGTGAACTCTTCTTACGGATCAGACCGCTAGCCCTTTATCAGGTCTATATAAGTTTATTTTCTTCCAAATCAAAGGAAATAAACTTACATTACTAGAGAATTTCGAAATAAATAAATACAATTAGATATATTGCTAAACGACCAAACAGAATGTACTAATTCCCCACTTTTGAATATGTTCCGAAGTAACCCTAGTAACACTGTACATGAACACCTACAATATAGAACAAACAGAATAGCTCAAAACCCCAACGCCAAAACACGACACTGTAGTTACTGAGTTTACTTCAGTCCCTGAAGAAGGTAACTTTGTTACCGAAAAGTGCTTCGGACAACTACAGTGTCGTGTTTTGGCGTTGGGGTTTTAAGCTATTCTGTTTGTTCTACAACAACCGCCAAAGTTTTTCCAATCTTCATATTACCTACAATATATTGTAACGTTGATAGTAAGTACTCGAAGTCTGATGAAGTCAAGAATGATGAAAATTGTTACTCTTAAAAAAGTGTGTGAAAATTTTGAAGTGTTATTTTCATTTTGATTAGCTATAAACACATTTTTTATCCTTACTTGGATTTGATATTTGACCTGACATGTGGAGAATTTGGATTCCATTGTCGAGCCTATTATAACTTCCATACACTGTGATATATACATATATGTGTCATATATATATACGTACATTTAGGCGAATGTTGAAGCCGCTCGATGTTTGGGTGAATTGGGGCCTGCAAACTTGGCTATAGTAACTTTGGACATTCAAAAAAAATACAAAGATGTTTTCGAACCTTACAGCGTTTACGTGGCAGGCTCTGCATTGTCCTTGCTGTCTCAGTATTTGTTCGATAAAGATATTAAAATAGTTCGAGCCACTTGTACTGCTCTCTATGAAATATTGGCGTCGAAGGATGGTGAAAAAGCTTTGGGTAAAACAAAATACACATTTTAACAATTGTATTTGAACATAGTATTGTTTTTTAGCGTATGATAGGGAATTTGTTAACAATGAAAAAATTAATCGTCGTTATTTCCAACCGTTTGTTTCAATTAGTAAAGCAAAAGATCTTTCAAAATGTATTGTAAACATTTCTTCGTTTAAAATGCTTATTGATAGAGACGATTTGTGGTGTCCCACAGATAGTTACTTTTCCAAATGGATACTAGACTTGATTTATGCCCTTATAAATTCATTTGAAAAGTGTTACTTCCAACAACTACTTCCCTTATGCAAAGTTAAAGTAAGATAAACGCAATACTTCTCAATAATATTACTTCTTTATTATAAAAGTTAATGTTTTTTTTAGATTGAATTTGCCCAAAATATGTTCCCTTTACTTGTTGTTTTCATCTTAAATTTTAGTAAAGACGTTTTCATCGATGTTCTGTCGTCGCAAATTCGAAAGTTTTTTGAAAAGCATTGGACTCACACTTTAAAGGAAAATTATGATAAAAATGACATCGTTTTAAACCAAGATGCAATAAAATGTCTTTTAGAAGTAGTCCATTTGATAGAATTGCAGAAATACAACATTAATAAGAAGTATGCTACATTACATGTTAATTATTATTAATTAAACTTCTAATTTTTATTACTTTAAGAAAACCAAATCAGGATTTGGAACTCAATTATTTACATATTGCTAAAGCTGCAAATTACTGTTCCTTTTACTTTTCGGCATTGCAATTCATTGAGTTTTGGAGCCACAAAAGACTAAGTGAAATAAGTAAAAATCAACAAATCGTCCAATATTCAAACGACACCCCTCTTTATACAATCATTACATACGAAGAATCAGAAATTCAAAAAATAGTACAAAACATTTTAAAAGAAAGTTTCAATAAAATAGGCGACCACAATGCTTTAAGTTACATTACATTTAATTTGGAAGATTTTGAGATTTTTGAACAGATGCAGAAATGGGACCAAGTAGCATTACAATACGACATTAAAATGTCTCACAGTGATAGTTCCTTTAACTTACTACCTGACCTTACAAGAGCTTTAAAAAAAAGTAGCTTAATGCAGATTCCGTTATTGTGTCGGAACGATCAAAATCAGCAATACGAATGTGCATGGCGTTTAAACGATTGGTCCATATCCGAAAGCGATAAAATGGACGAGAAGACTGTTATAGACTTTAATAAAGAACATTATTTAGCATTGAAAGCACTGCACGAAAAAGACAATAATTCTCTGGATAAATATTTGAATAGAGCTAGAAAAATTCTGATCGAAGAGTTGAAAAAATTAAATTTAGTCACTTGTAAGAGTATATATGATATATTAACGCGTCTAAGATGCTTAGAAGAACTTGAAGACTTCGGAAAAAAAAATATAAATAGTTGGAAAAGTAGCAAGGAGATGGATCTCGTCGATTTTGAATATTTTGAGCTGATCCAAGCCCAACGTATAATTTTATTAAAAGATGAAATATCAAGTGGAAGAAGTGATCTTAAAAATGTTGTTTCAGATTTTAATCTTAAATTGGCCGGTATATCATTAAATATAATTTATCTAGTAACTAAATTTAATAATATTGAGCAATTTGCAGAGTATGCAAGAAAAGAAGGATATGAAAACGTATCAAAGAGAGCTTTGAGTGAATTAAAATACATACAAGGCTTAGATTTGATAACTAAATATCAGATAGCATTGGAAGATGTACGACTATGGTGGTACAAAGATAAGTCCACAGCTATGTCAAGACTAAGGAGTCTCTTAAATGTCACCAGTGAATATCCAAGGTAAGATAGGGGGATTTTCCGTTATTTATAAAACAAGTAAATTAATGATTTTTCAGATTGCACTCTGACGCTTTGAAACTGTATGGAACATGGATGATTGAAAGTAATTCTGTAGCCTCAGAATATCTTCTGAAATCAATAGATGAACTGAAGAAGATTGATTATAATCATGAAAATTTATTTGAAATCTACGACATTTTAGGAAGACATTGTGACTTTAAGTATCAACAGGTAATAAAAAATAAATAGAATTGTTACTTAAGCTAAAAAGAAAATAGGTCGTAGCTTATATAAAATCATCAGAATTCGAGCAGAAGATCAAAAACATGGAAAAGTGTCGAGTAACTGTTAGTCTTATACAACAGAAATTACAGAAAAAAAATATCACCCAAGATGAAAATAGGACATTGACTTTGTATAAAAAACAAAGTGATATTGATGAAGACGAAATTCAGAGCACTTACAAAGAAAGAGAGAATTTCCTGGAAATGGCTTTAAGGTTAGCAGATATTACTTAGCAGTTAATATCTTTTTTTTTAAGGGAAACTTCTTTGGGCTAGATGAGGGTAAAATTTCAAGGTCATGAAACGACACGTTTTATCTCGCGAAGCGATAGGCTATGAGAATAAAAAGACGCGCATGCGCATATAGGTATTACAACCAGGTTTTAGTGACCGGCATCTCATATATTATAGTATAATGTATATTCACTATACTAGTGCTAAATTAATTTTTTGGTTATATCTGTGCAGTTATATTACAATAAATGTTTAGTTAACAACAATTAATATTTATTCAGAGTGAGTATTATTATGTATTAATTCTAATTCCTTGCAGTTATTGATAGTTTACGGTTTCTTAAGCACTTGGAAAAATAAACGGAAACGAAAAAAATTTGACCATGTCTTTGTTATTGAATTACATAAAAACGTATTAATGTAATACTCCTTAGGTGGCCTAAAGATAAAATATGTTGGAAAATAAAAAACCTTAAAATTCTCGTACTTTCTTTTTCTTTCACCAATCATTACTTATTCGTTATAAAGGTATAGAGATCGCCAAAGAAGTTTCACTTCTTTCATGTGTACTGAGTCGCACCTGTTTTATTGTTATTGCTCTACAGCAGTGGTTTCCAACCTTTTTGTACCTGCACCCCCCTTTAAAAAAAAATTGTTGCGCCCCCTTAATTTTTCTAGCAATCTAATTTCATAAATACTCGACTGATATTATAATTTATTTAATGGGCTCCAAAATATACATAAAATAGATGGATGTTTTAGCATTTGTACCCGAAAAATTCTCGGCGAGGATTGTGGATTACGTATACGTATTTTGTTGATTCATTTTGTTGACACCTATTCGACTTTTTTGGTTTGTATTCTTTTTTGGTTTGTATTCGAAAATGATATTTTGGAAACAGCTGCATGCCGCCCTTGTAACAGTCTCAGGGGGGCCCGCCCCACAGGTTGGAAACCACTGATTTAGAGACTTGTTTTGAGATATTTAGGAATAAATTTATAAAACACAATTTACAAAGCAACTACTACACTAAAGAAACTACGTATACGATTTTTTGACTATCTTCAAGTATAACAACATTATACAATGAATAGAAATTGTTTTTGAGCTTTTTGAGAGAAGTCAAATGTGTAGGTAGTTACATAATTACACCATCTACTACTTAATTAGTTTAAGGGTAGATACAACTGCTGTGAACTGGTACTACATGGGTATGTACAAAAACATCATTGACATAAGTCTCCTATTGGTGTATGTAATCCCTATGAGTGACCGTTACAGATCGTGCGATGTATTTTGCATTTGTAAATATGTACATAATACCGTTTGGAGTATGAGCCAAAAAAAGTTTCCTATTTCAAGTTTTCTACCAGTTCCATGAAGCTTTCAACAATAAAATCAATAGGTAGAACCATAAATAGAATTTTAAATTTGTTTTGGAAAAAAGAGCTTTTTATAAATTCTGCAAAATCGCTGCACATGTTCATAATTCACCCCTGAAATGAAACTAATGAAAGCTTCGATTAATTTTAATTAAGGAAATAACTAATTGTAAATAAATTACAAGCTTTTACCCACATTAAGGTCCTAAATACGTATCAAAGATCATCGAAAATATAATGATTTGATAATGGTCATAGGACGATAAGCATAGTAAATCGGCCCCAGAGGGATGTCTGGATTATTTTTTGAGGGTATATTTGTACTAATGAGGTGCGTTAATCCTGAAAATTTTAGAGCTCTATCTATTTTGTTTTTTGAATAAATCCAAAAAGCCAAAAATCGGAAAATATTTTTTTTCTCAAAAACGGCTTAGCCGATTTGAATCAAATTTGTAAACGTTATAGAGGCATATAAGGGCTTTACTCGGAAAAAATAACAGCTCATAATATTTNGCTAGTGAACCTATGGTCCGGATCCATTATATCATATATTATTACATATATTACATTATACTATCTAAAAAATTTTTTCTTCTTACGCGTATAGACTAATACATGCTCGTTACCTTTTTTTTCCTTTATAGAACGCAGCGAAGACAAAGTTGTCCAATGCAGACAAGCTGAAAATATTTCTCAATATATGTGAACATTTTCGCCCGATTTTCTTTAAATTCTTTGAAGAATATTTTCCGGAACCATCCACCTGGTATGAGAAAAGACAGGCGTATACACACAGCGTCGCTACTACCAGCATGTGTGGCTACATCTTGGGAATTGGGGACCGTCACGTGCAGAATATTCTTATCAACGAAAAGACAGCAGAGGTGATTCACATTGATTTTGGTAAGTATTTTTTATGTTCGCTCTTCCTAACAAATTGTAATTTTTGAGTTGCTTTAAATGTTTAAACAGCAAAAAAACATTCATTTCAAAATGTATTCCTTTTACACTACGGAATAAAAAATAATATGTATAATACATAAAAAAGATTATAAAAGTTGTCAAACACCTTATCGATATCATTCATGTATACGTTAATATGTCCTTTGTGAATGTGTGTTGTTGCGCCTTGTCTCTCTTTCGTTTTATTCGTGATATGTGAAGCCTCCTTAAAATGTAGGTAATAATTTTAATGCCAGTAAATAAAAATGCATATGGAATATTTTTTAGGGATTGCATTTGAGCAAGGGAAAGTTCTTCCTACTCCAGAAACTGTCCCTTTCAGACTCACCAGAGATATTGTGTCAGGAATGGGTATCTGCGGAATTGAAGGAGTATTTCGAAAGTACTATGTTTGGGCTTTTATATGTTGTTTTTGTTAATTAGAATGATGCTCTTTTAAATTTAGATCTTGTGAAAATACAATGGAGGTCCTTAGAAATAATTCAGAAACCATAGTGGCCATTTTAGAGGTCCTTCTTTATGATCCTTTATATGCTTGGTCCATAACGCCTTCCCAAGCGTATAGTAGACAATTTAGTCGAGACGTTGAGTTGGAGAAAAGTCACCATAATACCAAAGAGTCAAGTCCTAACTCAGGTGATTTTTTTGCTTTTGTTAAATATTTATTAATAGTGTATAACGTAGCAACTATACCCATCGTGTATCAATTATAATTGGCGCACATTAAAATTATGTTTTAGATAATTCCGCGTCTTTGAATATTATGGCTGAAAGAGTATTGTGGAGACTTCGTCAGAAATTAAAAGGTACTGAGGAGGGTAGTGCCACAAGTGTTGAAGATCAAGTTGAAAAATTAATACAGCAAGCCAGAGATCCTGCCAATCTAAGCAGGTTGTTTAGCGGGTGGCAAGCGTATTTATAATTATACAAATAAGTGTTTTTTGTAGTAAACAGTTTACGCTTTCTTATGTTAACGATTTTGTTCCAGTTACAAATATATATTTTTAATTTCTTATGAAGGCATTTTCTTTTCCTAAGTTTTGTTATTCCTATTTTATAATCCACTGTCTTGTGTTATTCATTCGAAGAAAATGTAAGTGCATAAATTACGTCCAAGGACGAAGCTCATACTTAAAGAGTTTGATTCTATCTTCACGCATAATTTTATTTTGTACAACGACAATCGACTGACTTGATAGTCGTAGAAATTAGCTAGTTACAAAATAAAAAAGCAGGTCGTTTTAACATAATGAGTATATAATTAGCTCAAAATGTACATGGTATATTATAATTAATTAATTAATTAATAATAATCATAATAATAGTGAGAACAGTCAGTATGTATTTAGGACAATAATTAGTGGACTGAATTATTTATATTTAAAATATACACGATTAATAAATATGTATATAGATACTGATTACCGATGCATTGCACATGCAATATTATTTATTTATTACATTACTACGATCAATCGTTACATTATTGTTTTTAATTTTTATCTCTTTTTCGTGGTGAATACATCGCATCGGCAGTCACATGTATCGCCTGACAACATTTTTTTTTAATTATTCACACAGCTTCTGATTTTTTTTAATTATTTTTACTTTGCAACGTTTTATTACAGCACTGAGTCGTTTTTATTAAATGGCATTGATGATAATCAAAAGATTGTATCAATTTCTTATTGAAAAGGCACTTTTACACCTATTTAAATACTAACAAAGACGGAAGGTATGCATCATCATCATTTGAAGTGTTAAACGGAGTCGCAGCACTAACGATAAAAAAAATTAAATTGTATTCCCCCCTTCTAACAGTTTAATTTAAAAAATTGACCATGTTTAAAAAGTAAATGTGTTTATATATAATAATACTCACTGTCATTCATGTAAATTGATTCATCAGTCACCAGTTATGTATTGGCTTACAATTAATACCACCAGTAGAAATATCAGTGACAATTAATTAGTTAATGAAGCAGTTTTAACTGGGATTTAGTATTTATAAAAAAATATTTACAGTTTTCCTTCCTAATTAAAAATCGTACTTAAACCGTAATAACTTTGGCGTCTTTGCTAGACTAGCAATAATAAAAAAAATAATGTAAAAAGCAAACTAATAAAACATATTTTTCCTACACAATTGATCACAAATTGCTTATTCTCTTGGCAACAACTACAAAAAATATTGCGCACCAGAAAAATCAACTCCCTTTGAAATATTTCATCTTTTTTTTTTTCAATAAACAACATTTTATTTAGTGCGAGAAATTGGACAACACCAACAAAAGAATGACTTTTCACGAAACAACTCTATTGCTTCTTCTATTGACCTGTTGTTTATTGATAGATATACTTACAACTCTTGGTTACAGTGTTACTTACCCCAAGAGTAACATTTAAAGGTATTTCGAAGTAATGCAACGTTTTTCTTTATTTCACACATATTGCTAGGTTTCAGATCACATTTTAGCATCTAGTACATACACAGAGAACGACAATCGTTTATTAACAAATGCAATAAGATTAATTTAATCGTATTGCTTAGTACTGTCGACGATTATTTATTATTTTTTTCTTTCACCCTATCAGTTATTATTCTTGTTTTTCTGTTTGAAGAAAAAACGGATCAAAAATATCTGCAACAATTCTTACACAATAATCAATAACGTTAAATGACCTCTTGTCGTCTATCCTACGATTAAAAACATTTCACTTTTTCTTAAATGAGTCTTGAATACCATCTTTGTAAACACCATCATCAACAAGCAAACAATTTGTTACGGTACGACCTTTTTGTACTTTAAACATACGTGTTTTTCTTTTTAAAGTCTTTCGAGAGTTTCTTCGACCGCATTTCAAACAAGATGTCCGTCCTGCGGTTCGTTTGCACTGTAATAACCGAAACTTGACATTTCCTGTTTCTTCTGCGAAATATTTTGCGCTCCCTGACTCGTGTTATGTAAAACATCCGGTGGCGGAACGGTAGATGCAGTTCCAAGACCTTTTTGACCTCCACCACGTATCAAGGAGCCGTTTTGCGTTACCGGAAGTGGCGACGGCGCGAGAGCAACGTGTTGGGGAAAAGGTGGGACCGCCGGAGGCCCCGGGGCCCGATGATGGTGGTGATCGTGATTGGGAAAGTCTAAAGACGGCGGATAAGATAGGTACCTGTCAGCAACGTTAAAATACGAACCGTCGGCGGGAGGAGCCGGGGAGGGGGCGCTTATATAAGATGACTTGGCTAAGAAATAAAAATTAAATCAAATATTGATCGGACAGAACAAATTGAAAAATAAAACTACCTGAAAGATTTCCTGTGTGGTAATGTAAATTTTGATCGTCCCTGGGTCTAGTTTTATCTATGTGTTGCTGATGGTGGGGGTGAGGTAACGTATGTGTTTTTAGCATACTCGGTTGTATTTGCATTTCATAACCAGGATATGCAGTATAAGCTGCATTATAATCTTGGTGTTCCATCAAATATGTACTGGTTGCCTGTTTACGATTATCGTCCTGTAATTAGCAAAGAAAATTGCCTTAAATAATAAGTAACCTTTTGGTGGAGAGTAGGCTTTTACAGCCAGTGTCCTTAACTATGAAGTATTTTATATATATTTCACTTACATTGAATTAAGTTACTATTTTACAACTTAAACTTACAACGTAATCGTTGCTTCCTTCATTGCTGTATGTTTCGCTTTTTTCACTAAGGGATGATAACGTTTCCCCAGTAACGGTGTCATTATAGCTGCTCGGTGCATACATTTCTATGGTGGCTGATTTGCTGTTTTGATTGTTTTGCTCTAAATACGAATAAAAAAAGTGAAATAAACTAATAGACAAATAAATTATCAAATTGTTACTCGCTTATTTAGTAACAATAAGTCCAATCATTATAGCACATACGTATTTAATCTTGGTAAAAATGTTTAACAGCAATGTTAAAGAGGTACCAGGATACCAACAAATGTCAGTTCTTTTAAATAGTGTATGAACATTGCTGTTTGCAATTTTGTCTCGGTTTTCGCATTTCCCATCTCGAAAACTGCCAAAATAATCGTAATGCCACCAGAGTTGAGAGTTGCAAAATCGATAAAATAAAATTTGAAATGCCTCAGTTAAAGCAATTATTATCGCTAAAAGCGTGAATAACCTCTGAAGAAAATGTAATATTTAAAAAATTCATAACTTTGATAATTAAATGTTTTCAGCATCAACCTTTCAAGAAAAGTAGTGACCATTATACTCAATAATTAAGCCAAAAAGGTATCCTGTCGAACTCATAGTTTTTGCACAGTTACAATTTGCAATATTCTGACAAGTACTCTTACATAGGCCTATCTACCCCGCCCTATTAGCGCCTGAGTAATTTTTCGAGCATATTGACATTTATTGGGGCCATTTTTGAAATTTTACACCCTAGAACCCACTTTACATAGTGATATACTATGAGTGCCATTAAAACTTTTTACATCAAAAAATGCATTTAGACTGGCCTAAATACACTTTAATTTGGGTTTAATGGGTTTATGAGGTAATTAAGATCATTAATATTATACATAGGTTTTACATATAATAAAAAACAAAGTGTGATTAAAAACAAACCTCGTATACGTTTTGCGTGTTTCTTGAATATACAACCAGCAACGAGGCCGATATTAATTGATAAAAGAACGACTCCTATGACTGAAACTGTTATAATGACGATACGCGGTAGATCTTGTTTTTCTAATAAATCGTCTGGAATAACCTTTTCAACGGTGTCGGTAACGTGAGCTGTAATAAAGAGAATAGAAAGGGAAAATTACCTCGCAATCGTTTTTTTGATCTTCGATGTAAACAACAGCCTATTAGTAACACGTTTAGAAGTATTAGTGCCGTTCCAAAAACCGTTCCCATTATCAAAAGAATGCCTGGGAAATCTTTGAAACTTGCGTCGTTGCTTTGGGAGGGATACGGAGAAGGAACTTTATCTGTTAGTAAAAATTAAAGTCAGTTAGCATTAGTAAAAGCGATAAATTTTTTAAGCAAAGAAAAAGAAAGCGGTAAGAGTGTTAGTAGCTGTGATAATCAATGGACATGTTTATCTCCAAAATATAGGACTATATTGCACTTATTAACACTTATAATTGCTGTAATTTTTCTTGTAAACTATAAAATGAATCTTATTAAAAAAAGTGTGTACACTTGTGTTTATTTAATATTTACTTAAATGAACTTTTCGATTGCGTATTTAAATAATATCACTGTGTAATGCTGCAGCAGGGTGCGAACCCACTCCACCAACAAACAACGGCGACTACCCTTGAGTAGAAGTACAAATTCGCACCATTCCGTTGCATGCTAAAAGTTTACTGTTAATGCTCCCGAAAAAGTACAACTTCACAAATAAAATAAGAACATTTTTAAGATCTATAGCTGTGGAGATAAAACAACCCTACTCTTTAAATAAATAATTAATTTATCAAAGTAGACTTACTTGTAGTTTTTGCTGTTACTAAATCAGGCAAATATTTGCTTTCGCCCAATTTGTTAGAAGCCATTATAGAAAATGTGTAAGCAGTGTCCGTTTCTAGGCCTTTTATCACATAATATGTAACATTTGGGGTCGTAACGTCCTCATATTTGTATCCATTTTCATTTATTTTCCTATACCTTATACGGTATCTGACTTCCATACCTCCGTCAAAACCAGGGCTCCAGCTCAATGTGGCGGAGTCGTGAGTAACATTTAGTACCGTTAAAGTCTCCGGAGGGTCGGGGGCAGAGGTTATTTCCAAACGAAGCGTATTCGTGGCGAATCCAAGCTCATTTTTCGCGACGCACTCATAATTCCCGTAATCGGATGATGTTACATGTGATATTATTAATATAGATTCGGATGTTAATATGTCTATCTGTCGGAATGCCATGTAATACTTTCCGGAAACATTTGCCGCAATAGGACTCCCATTTCTTGCCCACGAATACCGAGGCAAAGGAGAAGCGCGAGTCCTGCAAATTAATCTTCCAGAATTTCCGGTGTCACTGGCGAATTTTTGTAGTGCAGGACTTTTGTCCATTTCCGGCTTATCTATAACAAAATACTTATTTCTTATAAGCTGATTAGATTTAGAAACAATGTAAGGATATCACTCATTCATTTTAAATAAATTAATAAATGTAAGTTGTATATGGTTATTCTTTAAAACAGTTTGCCTATCTAATTAAACAATAATTAATTAATAACCGTAGTAACTGAAGTTTATACAATTAACTGACCCCCCCACCTTGAAAAGTGACGTAATTAATTTTTTCGAAATAAAGATATTTTCATGCCTGCATGTCCTAAAAACATTTATGAAAATTTTTTGTATAGCTAACTAAGTAGGTACCTAAACTATAACTTATATTGATAAAATTTGCACGTAAAATTAATAATAAAAGTCCTAAAGCAGTCAACTATACAATTTACTATTATTATTCTCAGTTACGCTATATGTATTCTTTGACATTAATTTTTCGACGTTTCTGGCTGATGGAAATGTTATCCTACGCATTAATTGACTGACCTAGAAAGCGTTGTAAGATTAAATGATACAACTTGGTGTAGATGTGGAAATTGTTTGTGTTATGTTAATTGGAAACTAATAAAGATGAGACATGAAGACGCATGTATTATAACTAGATTACGATGCATTTAAAACAGAACATTTTTTCATTAAAGTTCACTTTAAAGCTCCTTTAATTATTTATTTAGCATTTTTAGTGTAAATTTGGTTAAATGTTTCGATAGGGTCGGTAAAATATATAAATGCTAGGCTAGTCGAATCGTATCAAGAATAAATTATACGGATTAACGTCCCATTAATAATGCAGCTTTACTTTAAAAATCAGCTTACGTTTAACAATGAGCATCACATCTCTAACAGAAGAATTTCCAATTCCATTTTGAGCAATGCATTGAAATTCGCCTAGATCGTCACGTGTTACTCGTTTTATTTGTAACCACGACGTCCGATTATTCTTATCATACGTTATTACTGCCCTTCCTTCGAAATCGAACCCTACTCTCTTCCAAGCAACGGTATCGTCTTTTAAGGGATTCCCACTAACCGAACACCACAATGTTGCGTCTTCCTCTGGACTGACTACCACATTTTCACTCACAGACATTATAGTAGCAGGATCTAAAATAATCTTTCATTTAATCTTTTATTACTTTTTTATAATTCTGTTAATTTAACTTACATTCGACGCTGACGTTAACTTGTGCTACGGAACTTCCCTGAGAGTTTAGTGCTTCACAAGAGTAGGTACCTGCGTCATGTCTATTCAGTTTCGTTATATTTAGTATAGGCCCATCGGAAACTATGCGGTCCATTCCGGAACTGGAAGCCATTTGTGCTACAGGAAGACCATCCTTTGTCCAAGTATACGTAACTGAGGTAGGATTTCCATTTGCTTGTAGTGTTATAATTAAAGGCTCCCCTTCAATACCATATACTTCTTCTTCAATGTTCTTCTCAAACACCGGCTTATCTAAAGTGAAATTATTGAATAGCTATCCAAATATCGAAAACACCGTTTGTGTTGTACTTACAAAGTACTTTCAAAGGGAAAGCTTGATGTGCTGATATTTGAAGTACCTCGTTTGAAGCTTGACACGTGTACACGATTCCGTTCATATCTTCAGTGATGTTTAGTTTCAGATCGATGGAAGAAACTTTTCCCCCATGCAGGCCGGGTTTCGTCGAATTAGACATACTTTGAACAGGAATGCCTTCCCTCCACCATGATAATTTTGCAGGGGGATTGCTGGAACTACAGTCGCATATCAATGTAGCTTCCACTCCTGGTTTCAACACTTCTGGTTCCACACGAATCTTTACTGTTTCAGGGGGGACTGTAAGACAATAATACGTTGATGAGAAAACGTATAAGGGGTTAAGAAAGTGTTGCTTACAATAAACACTCATGGTTATGGTTTCAAATAAAGGTATTTCAGTTGCTGGATTCGTTGCTTCACATCTATATCTAGATTCGTTGTCGGTATAGTTTGTTAATATTTCTATCTCAGCTGTCACAGACTTCTCGGTAGTTTTTATCTTTGAATTAATCTAAAACAAAGATGGTACAAATTAAATTCAATTATGGTTGCTTTAAGTAAGGGGTACCTTTTTATCATTTCGGTACCATGTCATCGTTGCTAGAGGGTTACCCCCTGATGAAGTACACGAAATTCTTTGGACGGTTCCCACAGGCACACTAGTGCCTTTTGTATACCCATGAATGAAAGGCTGACTAGGAGGATCTGTATGGAAAAATGTGATATAGTAAGGAAACTTTAGTAGTTGACTACTATTATGCACATACATAAAACATTAATTGTATGTGTCGATACTACATTCTCTGTAAGTTGCATGTTGACCCCATGACATATTACGACCAGACTTTTCTTATTAGGTTCCACTTGGACGGTTATATTTGATATCGTGATCCAACCACCGTCTGGCGAAACGGTAGTTCGTGAGGTGGCATTTCTCATTTGGCGACCCCCCACCATCCACTTTATATCAGCTGGCGGGTTACTATTGGCAGTGGTGCACGTCAGAGGGACTACGTCTCCTACCCTAGCTTCCGTTGGACCGGTAATGGTTACGTGAGCAGGTGAAACTATAACAAAACATTTGATAAGATTAATCATGACCTAGGGTCCCTTTTGAAGTGAGATTTCTTTTGGAAGTGAAGTGACTCGAATGCTTATACATATACATAGTTGGCATTGTATGGCTTTAGGTGATATACGTGTAAAACGAATATAACTATATCTGACATATCTCAATGTAGAAATAATGTGATGTATAGTGCAGTCGAAATACGAAGGCAAAGTCCCCAATAAATATCGTTTTTCTGTAAATTTGCCCATTTATTTAGGTACAAATGACAAGACAAGCACGTTTTCAACCGTCTCATTCTATTCGATTGATTATTATGAAACGTGGGTGCAGGTCTCGACGCAGCTGTGAAGGAGGCGTGTTTAGAGAGTAAAGACAGGATCTCTTCCGTTTGTAAGAACGAGAAAAACGATATGCCCTTAGTGTGCATTATTTATTGGGGACTTTGCCTTCTTATTTCGACTGCACTATATCAAGTTGTCTACAGTTACATGTATTGTAAGGTAAAATCTTGGCTGTGACGCGCTTTTCGTTTTGTACAACCCTCAGAAATTTCACTTCTACCGCACGTGGGGGCCATGCACACTTTTCTAGAATAACTTACAGAGTACAGTCAGGTCAATTTCAGCCTTCAAAGGTTTGACAGACATAATATTGCTGGCCTCGCACTTATATCGCGACTTGTTGTCTCCAGCTTCAGCAGTAAATGCGTAAATGTTTTCGGAAACCCTGCCAGCAGTTCGATAAGCCATTCTGATCTGTTCTCCGTTTTTGTACCAGATTAATTGAGCTGGAGGATTACCCCCTCTACTCTTGCAAACCAATTCCACCGTGGTTCCCTTCCGTACCGTCTCCCCTTCGGAATATCCTTCTATGTAAGGTTGTCCCGGTGGATCTGTAGTAGTTCAATATTAGATTAGGAAATTAATAAAATCCATTTAGAGGAATCTACGTACATAAAACGCTTAAATGTACTGATGTTCTCATTGGGACATCAGGTGATAGAGCTTCCTGGTGTGCTTCACAAGTATATTCTGCATAATCGTCTTCGGATGTTGGTGTGATTGTTATACGTGAGTGTGTGTCAAATCTGGTGACTTTTTTCACTCCAACTCTTGACGAAACTTCAATAGTATCGTCTTCCCGGTTCGCTAAAATTTAATCATCAGTTACTTTTCTTACTTGAACTTAAAAATAAAATCTTACGTATGTTTAAAGCTATATTGCCCCGATACCAGACTATTTTGGCAGCAGGTTTGGCATTTCTAACTCGGCATTCAAGGGTCAGTTGTTCTTTCTCTTTAATTTCTATCTTTGAATTATGAGGATGGTCTAAAATCTCTACGGAGGATGGGGGTGCTGAAACAATAAAGAATTTGTTTTCTTAAAAATAGATTTTAAACCTTATAACAGTTGGGATAGGAATATTGTGGGTTAACTTTGATTGATCTTAAAAGTTCAACAGAACTTTGTAGGCAACGGAAAGAGACATTAATTTAAAACTTGGTATATAAGTCAAAAGGATCTATTTAAAGAAATTATTTTCGAAACCGTGGGCGCGTCCCTTCATTATTTTAAACAGAATAGCCCAATTTTATTCAGTTGAATAACTTATTTTTAGGGATAACGTTTATAAAGGTGATATACTTTCCTAAAATTAATATTTTTCAAATTATAATTAATTTAAGGTGAAAATTTTAGTAAAATAATCAGTGGCAAATAAATTAACACCTCTGGGAAAAATCATATACGAGTTTAGGAAAATGGTACGCAGACCCCTAGCCAATATCTCCTTTGCTTGGCTTATTCAACTTGTTTTATTAATTAGGAAATATGTTAAAAATAGAATTTTTTTTATAATTTCGTGTAAAAACGACTATAGATAAAACTGCTTGAGAAAATCGAAATTACAAAAGGGCATACGGATTATAAAAGTAATATCGGTCCTTAGTTCGATGTTCAGTGAATTGATCAATATTTGGATTCAAATACCCCATAGTAAGTCGGTTACTATTTACTATAGCGGAAGGAGATAATTCCTAAATCTGTTACAAAATATTATAAGGTTAAAATAATTTAATTCGAAGTGGTCTGTATTCTGTCGAAACTGCCAGACGCGGATCGCGATTTCGATCTTTTTGGATCTCATCAGCGCGTCGTAGGCAGCTCCGACAGAACACAGACCAACTTTTACCTGCTGTCTTAACAGTGCGTTTCAGAAAATACTACAAACGGCACAGTGAGCGCCATCTGTAGCACGATGCTACATTTTAGGATTACGTATTTTTTTATTATAAGGTTTTCTAAAGGAAGACTTGAACATTGTAAATGCAATATTTATTATTAATAGAACCAAAGAATCCTTTATCCCAATAATAAGAAAACAGTTGATTAATCGGTTGCCCCCCTCCCCCCTAAATAGAATACTTCGCTCCGGGTAATTTGCCACACCCGGGAGGGAGTATGCTATTTTTAACACTAATTGATATCTACTTTGAAAAGAAGATTCATTAGAAATTTGCATTCTACTTTTAATTAATGGAAATCTCGAAGGATAATCATCTATAGCTGGGCGTGAAAAAATGAAAATCGCTGAAAATGACATTATAAATGATTGTTTATTATTGCTGCGCAAGTTTAATTGATCCGTGTATTTGCGAAATCTTCATAAAAAAAGGCGACTCAGATTAACATCTGCATGTAACTTTTGGACAGTTTCAATCAAAAAAGGACTTATTTATTTATGTTTCCTTAAAGTTAACTGGGCTGCATAACAAGACAGCACCGAATCTTTTACACATTAATTTCAATATCATTATCAATCACAATTCTCTCGTTTCGTATTCTCTTAATTCTTTACACTTCTAAATTGTAAAAAAAAATCCAGTAATGTAACATAGTTTTGTTCATAATGCGGATGTCTTCCCTTAATCTACTTTGAAGAAAAAGTAGGGAAAAAGTGAATTATATTTCTTCTTTATAAGAAAAAAAAAAAAGAAAAATTAGAATAAGTGGCTGATTTTCGGTATCTAGAAAGTAAGATAACTGAGGATGGAAGGAGCAGCAAAGTAATAAAACTGATAGCGTTGAAATGAACCGCCTTATCAAAAAGAAGCCACTTCTAAGCTCGCAAATGGTTAATATAGAAATTCGAAAAAGATTGCTAAAACCGTAGATATGTATGGAGCATGGCTCTGTACAGGCGCGAAAAGTGGGCGGTGGGCGCAGCGGGGAAAGAAAAGGTTAGAAGCGTTAGAAATGTGGTGCTACAGGCGAATGATGAGGCATGAGTGTACCATGGATAGAAGGTTAGAAATGAGGTAGTATTAGAAAGACTAAGAGAGCAGAGGGCGCTATGGAGGTCAATAAGAAATAGAGGGGGTAAGACACCCTTTCAAGCATGAAGAGCTAATTAATGACATTGAAGCAGAAGCAGGATTTAAAACGAGTAGACCTAGAATAGATTATCATTCACAAATAGCTAAAAATATGAGATGTTCTAGTTTTAGCGAAATGCAGAGGTTATCTCAAGATAAGAAAAAGTGGAGGTGCGTGTCCAACCAATTTTAGGATTGACGACGTATATGATGATGATGATAACAAGTTTTTTTTGTTATTCTTTTACATGTAGGCATGTACGTAAATAAATTCAAAATGCCTCTGTTGGAATATTACTTATTAATTTCTACTGTAGAGAGCACGAAGCAAACTTATACCATATTAAAGAAAATATGTAAATTTTTGATTTCACACGTCCAGTAGAACCACAAAATTTTTATTTATTACTGTAGATCTTGTTAAAGTGTACCAAGTTTCAAATCAATACCTTTTTTCATGTCCTATAAACTTCCAATGATATGTGTATGATATCATAAAGACAGGTAAAATAAAGTGAATATAAATATACATGATTTTCCCGAAAACGTGCACATTTGTCATCCACATAGTGTCGCGCTCCAAACATACACTTTTCATGATCAAAAAGGGGACAAAGAAACATTCCATGAATGCCTTCTAATTCTTTAAGTGAAGGGAGTCTAAAAAATTCTAAACAAGAAATTACGAAATTCTATGAATTACGGCAAAACAGCCTTTAAAACAATATCGAATTAATATTCGTCAGCTGTGTAAAAGTGAAAACTACAAATATTGTGATGTGTGCTAATAAACGTCTATAATCCAAAATTCTTAGAAAACAAAGTAGAAAGAGGAAACTGTGGTAAATATTAATTAAAAAATTAAAAAGAAGATTCACCCCTAATTATCACAAGAAACTTTTTGAGCAGACACGTCTAGCGTTGATTATGGAGTGGGCAAAACACGTGTCCGCTCAAAAAGTTTTCTGTGGTAATTAGGGATGAGTCTTCTTTTTAATTCTTTAATCTTCGAAAACGATTCGAAAGACTTCACTTATTATATGAATCCAAAGCTAAAGAATTTCTTTCTCTTATTATAATGTGTAAAAGATCACAAACAAAATGGGGTTGTAAATATTCTGATGTAAAACGATTGATGTTGATTTTACATCAATAAAATTATTTGCAACCCTATTTTAGCTCTAATCTTTCATGGTAAACAAACAATTTTGGCACCAGTCTTTTTTCCAATTAAAACGGGTGACACAGGTAAATAAGGAAGCATATAGACGAAGTATTTGTTGCTGACTCAATAAACTTTAACATAAAAACTATATTTCAGTCACTTCAAACAGAAAAATATGAATCANCTTTTTTCCAATTAAAACGGGTGACACAGGTAAATAAGGAAGCATATAGACGAAGTATTTGTTGCTGACTCAATAAACTTTAACATAAAAACTATGTTGATTTTACATCAATAAAATTATTTGCAACCCTATTTTAGCTCTAATCATTCATGGTAAACAAACAATTTTGGCACCAGTCTTTTTTCCAATTAAAACGGGTGACACAGGTAAATAAGGAAGCATATAGACGAAGTATTTGTTGCTGACTCAATAAACTTTAACATAAAAACTATATTTCAGTCACTTCAAACAGAAAAATATGAATCATACTTAGAGTTGTCATCTCTAAAATTTGGAAACCAGGACAAGACGCGTGAAAACCCCGGATTTTAGAGTCCAGAACCCGGACATGTCAACAGGCTTTTTTAAACATAGTCAGTATAATAAAAAACAGTTGAAAATGTCATAAAGTCACAGTGCGAGTGTCGCGGACGGTCCAAGATTTTAAATTTTTAAACCCGGACTACAAATGAACCCCCCCCCCCAGGACGCTCCCCGGATGCCCACTAAACTAGGACAAATCCGGGGAAACCCGGACGGATGGCAACCCTAATCATACTCAATCTTTGCAGCTGGCGATATAATGCAAACACCACTATTAGTCTAGAAAACATCCAATATTTAAAAAATGAGCAAATGCCTACAAGGTTTTCGTAAAAAAATACTTTGTACTTAAGTGAATGTAGAAAATTAAATAGGTACTACATAAAAGTATTTTGAAAATACACATTTTACATTTAAAATTTAAAATGCAAAAGGGATTTTTTTTTTATTTTGTATTTTACATTTGAAATAACAAATCAAAAAAGTATTTGCATTTTGTATTTAAATACTTTTAAAAAAACATTTTGCACATCTCTGGTAGTAGTCAATAAACGTGTTATAAAAATGTTGACTCACGAGCTAAATAATTAAAGGAGAGATGTGAAGTTCACTTTCGAAAGTTACATTTTCAAGCATGGAGCAGGCGTAGCAAAAAACTTCCGCAGATAGTTAGTTGTGTAAAAGCTTTTATTACAAGTTGAAGCTAATCAGGAGAACAAAAGACAAGTTTCCGTTCCACTTTATATCGTCATTAAAAGAAACTTATCTATCTACCTGTTTAATATTTATATGTAGGGAGATAAAAATTGATACAAACTTTATCCATCTTTAAGAAAGTTGAGACCGTTAGCTTACGGTGAAGCACTTTTAATAAATGACTTATACTAAAACTCTTGAATAAATTCCACTAATGCTTATTTTTCTCTTTTGGGATCAGTCAAATGGCGCTGATAACGGAAATTTTTCAAGAGTTTCTACTCTGTACCGTTGCAATTGTGGAACTTTTAAAACGATATATACTAATTACTATTGGTACAATATGTAAGCATTTTTTACGGTGTTTTTAATAGGTATACTTCGTTTACTTTCTATAGCGATGTGACCTTCAGTTTGACCGGCGCAAAGTAGAAAAGAACAGCACCAAGCCAGAAAAGGAAGGAGACAACTCTCGGCCAAACTCTTAACCGGTGTGGAGCGTATAATCCGTACAGTACTGCACGGAAAAATTGACCATTTTATCGACTACAATTTCATTGCTCAAATGTGCTGT